CCTGTGTAAACTGCTTACCATGAGAAGGCTTTCTTGTACAAGACATAGAACTGTACTGAGCATCAAGCACAGAAAGATCATCAATGGGAAATAATTATTCCTACAGTTTCTAATAGGCATTTGAACTTTGACTGCTACACATGACCAGGGAATCTACAGTAACAGAAATATCCTACTTAAGGCCTTTAAGCTGTGAAGGCATTTGCCTTTGCTGGCTTATGTTGTGGGGTTGTTTGTTTGTTTTGAATTTTACAATATTAAAAGTGTGAATCTGCTAGGAACCTTCCTGAAAGATACCTTTAAAGACATCTAAAGAACTGCTTCTTAAAGTAAGCCCCTTCTTTAAACACCTTAAGCAACTTAATTTACAAATATACAGCCTTCTCAACTGAAGGGTTAGCACAAAAAACATGTACAAAAGGTCCCTTTTCTGCTTCAGATATCCTAAAACAAGACTGTATGGACTTTAAATTGCTTCTGACCTGAAGCCTTCAACACACAGTGGACAGAACAGTATTAATTCCCTCCTTTCAAATTTTCTTGACAAAAATAAAATACTGGAAGTCTTTCCAGCTGGAAAACAGATCCCCAGAGGGTACAAGAGAAGAGTTCTTAATGATTAACTGACACTCCATCTAACACATCTTCTGCATATACATACATATTCACCAAATAGGAAAGCTTTTCTTCAATCAAAGTATGACATGCAGTACTCGTATTAGTGAAATGAGGCTACCACTGCTCTCTGTAAAACTTCAGGTGCCTAAAGACACCCCCAGCGCTGCCACAAAAGATGCATAAAGTTGTCACTCGCTGGGTCCAGTATTTAACAGGGTACCATGTACCCTGGTGTACAGGGTGTGTACCAGGGTACACACTACATGACATATATATTCTTGCCATTAACAGGAAACGGTAAAGCTTTCCTACCAAAAAAGTATTTCTAACAGCCGTCTGAATCATGACTCCTCTATAGCCAGGGAAAAGGTAGTGCACTATTCAGGATTTAAAGATATAAACTATTATTTCTTTGTCAGCTTAGGAGCCTGCATCCTAAAGAGCAGGTATAGTGTGAGGGTAAGGACACAAGCAAGATTTTAAGTTTTATTTATATTCTCAAGTTTGACCTAACTGCTTGCTGAAAGTTTGCTCTCTAACATAGGTACACAGTGAGCTAATCAAAAACGCAACTAGAAGCCTTTGCAAATATAATTGGAAACATCAGCTTTATTCTTGCTTCTAGGGCTTATTAAAATAGGTTTCTTACAATTCCCTTCAGCTGTTTCAGCTTTTGAATCAGCTGGTGCTCATTAAACCATGTCTTCTGCTTTATTCAGTTCTTCTTTAGCTTCCACATCTGCCACCTCAGTGTGGCTGCGAGCAGCATCCTTAGCAGAGAACTTTCTCATTTTAATGTTTGGCAGTTTCTTCAGATCACCATCCCATTCTCTTGGAGAAAGAAAAAAAAAAAAAAGAGGAAAAAAAGATGTCATGATGTCATGAAAAACAATTAGCAAAGTAAATAAGCAAGAAAGTAGCAGAGTTAATTCACCTTTTCTCTGAAGATGCTAACTCAAGTGAGCCTGCTTTTCTAAATTATACTATCAGTCCCACTGCAGCATGAATGAGCTCCAACATTTTCACCTGATCTTGTACACTACAGCAGCTGTAATTTCTCTGTGAAGAATTTAAGTGCCTTCGTATTTGACATTCTGGAAAAAAAAGCATGGCCCACTTCATTCCCACAGATTACTTCTGTCTTCAGTTACTTTAGGCCAACTGATTTAGGTTTGAGAGACTAAACTCCCAGTCTTGCAAACAATGAAAAAGTAGTTTGGCTAAGTTTCTTCATTTGGATGCTCAATCTGCAGAGCTAGTATCACATGTACATAAGGCCTTTGTTATGATTTATGGTAACTGATAACATCTCACATAGAACTGACTTCAAGAATACACAAACTGGTAATAAATTTTAATTCATATACTGAATATACTGCTTCGAAAGGCTGCATAAAGGCAGAAAGGTTCATTTAGATATCACATGTCAAATCTAGTACTCAGTTAATACAGTACTTGCCTGATTATAGTAAGTGCACTCGTAGATAATTTTTCGCAGGGGCAAGGACAACGTTTACCAATTATAAGATGGACGTATTTGTTTTGGCTCTACCAAGGTAAAAAAACGAGAACATTTCCATCCGATGTCCCAGTACAAGTAGACAACTGTGTTTTCATTAACAGAGCGCAGCCAGAGGTCGCTCTGGTTGGGTTTTATTCCAACTTTATTCCAACACCCTATGACTGTGACGTCTGGCAACATAGCAGACCTAGGAGTTAGCAGTACATCACTCCTTGCAGCATAAGCATTCAATAGGTCTTTTTTTCTTTTTAAGCATCTCATTTGATAGAGCTGTCAGCAAGAGTGTTCACTGAATTTATTAGCAACGCAGGTTAGGTTGTTGGTCCACACGAACTAGTAGCAAGTTCCATAGCTGCCAATTCTTTAACTGGGTATAAATTGTCAATTCTCTCATGCTTTTCAATTAGTATATATACACAAACACTGCTGCAGACTGCATTACACCTAGAGTTGGCTGTTAGAAGACAAGACTAAAAACTTAGGGCATTTTAGCTACTTAATGATAAGTCCTGACTATAAATAACTTAAGTCACCATATCATGACTATAATTACCATCTGAAATCTCATTTCAGGTAAGAAAACAGTGTTAACATGTATTCTCATTCATCAGTGAACCGAAGTTGACAATTTTAGATAAAGAGAAAACATTCCCTAAAAATATCCAGATGAGATACTTAACTTACAGAAATAGAATTGTAACTGTTAAAGCTTTATAAACCTTTCAATATTTTAATGATTACCTGTTATCAGTCAGTCTTTAGCCAGTAATAGCTAAGAAATGCCAAAATAGCAGTAACGCCAAACAGAAGTGCCAAAATACCATACTTAATCTACTTTCTCAAAGCAGAAAAAAAACGTTCTTGATAGTTCTTACATAAATTCTTTTTATTAAAAAAAGTTATAACATGTCAAATTCAGAAATAGTGTTTTGCACAATATACGAGTGGCAACAATGAAAACTTACCTGAAAATTTTAAGATGCTTGCTGTTCACAATGTCTGGGATTTCTAATAGGAATGAAATTAAATCCTGTTAGATGTGTTACATCATCCAAGTGAGTCTCTTTTCAAAGTCAGAAATGTGCAAGGGCTGAACGTATTATTTCAGAGATTAGAAGCAAATGAGAATGAGGATTCATATTAGAAAGGTTCAAGAGCAATACTTAAACAGGAAGACCTCTTATTGCTGAAGTAAAGGAAAGGAGATTATATCTATGAACTGTTCCAGAATTCAAATGTAGTAGTTACTGAAAACCCAATCCTGACAACCAGTAAGAAGGTGCTTCATTTTCTCTGAACTGAAACATCCAAGAAATAGCAAAACAACATATGCATTTATAATTTCCCTTTTAAAAAGTCCAGTAAAGAAACTAGGAGAATAAATTATTTTTTGTCTTAAAAGCACAACTAGCACGCTTGGGCAAGATCAAGGTCTGGATCACGCTAGTTTTTAATATATTGACATTCACTTGCCTACATAATAAAAGACAGTTCTGCTCTACAGAACTTACTGCAAAGATATGCAACAAATAAAAGGTATGACAGGAAAGCTTGTTTTCAAAACTGACCTAAATAGATATAACCCTCACTATAAATTAATGAGTAGTGAGTGCTTCAAAAGTATTTTGAAATGTGTTTGGAAAAAAATTGCAACGCACCTAAGTGACCACTGCAAGCAAGACAGATCAGTGGTAGAGCAACTCTCATAATCGGAATTAGTAAATACAGCACACACTTCAATGCACTTCCGAAAATTTACCATGCAGCACAAGATTAAGAAAAAAAAATACATATATGTAAAATACAAGCATCAAGAAGAGTACAGTAAGACTGCATGTATTTAAATAGAACATATCTTTCCTTCTACCACCTATGAAACAGTCTGACCTCTGAAGAACAGAAAGGCTATCGAATAACAATTAGTCTCACTCCAGTTCATTTGTGGTTTCCATTGTTAACCATCTATCTGTGCTATAAACAGAACTCTTACTACCAGAAACTAGCATTCCGTAGTTGCTGAAATGCCTGTTAAACACTGCAGTAAATGCAATATAATGTTTATATAGAATGTCACCCTGTCTCTTCTCATGAACTGATGCTACTCTCGCTTAATCAAAAATGAACATCAATACCTTTAAAGACTAAAACTTAATATAATGACAGAAGGCTGGCCCTGAGCCATCTTTACTACCTCTGGCAGCAGCAAAGGAAGGCAAACACCTCGTACAGACAACTATAGGACAGATTCCCTCTCACCCCAGAGTAACCAAAATGGTGTTCCTACTAACTGTGTAATTTATAAACCCATGCAGAATTTCATCTAGACTACGTAAGCTGATTTGCCTAGAGAAAGCAAAGGCATGATTCCTATGACCCATGTTTAACATTTTCACTAATTTGCAGATTTATGCCTTAGGAGCCTTGACATCTTTGCACAGCATAAAATCCCTCATTACTGTCTCTGAAAAACTGAACAGATTTCACAAGCAGCAGATGTCTCAACAAGGAAGACTGCTACCTTTGTAAGATTAAATCTAGTTTACTACTTCAGGTCTTAAAAATGTGACATGTCAGGTGCTTCTTATATTACCCTTAACCAAACCCCTAAATATACAGGTTCTGTATATTTACAAAGATTCTGCCTTTGTTCATCCATCAGTTTTCCAGAGTGTCACAGTAGTAAGCCAGAAAATATCCGTGCAGGATCACAGATGATTTTGCTATGACATAATGTAGGATGATACCTGTCATTTTATCTTTGTAGTC